GAGGCCGCGTCCCACATACAGCAACTAGAAGGATGTGCAGCTATGGCATACAACTATCTACTGGGGCTTTGGGGGGAAAAATAAATAAATAAAATCTTTAAAAAAAAAATCAGTTCCATGTTTTGAGAGTTAAAAATAATTTTATTTTTAAATAATTTTTAAAAACAATGAAGGTAAAGTCCCTTTCACAAAATATGTGATAACACACTGTAAAAAACAAATCTAAAAAATGAATTAGTATGAATTAGTATTACACAAATGTAAGAATACCAGATGAGATAAGCCATTTATTTGAAAAGGATTCAACAATTTAGTCATAATATTAGAAACTAGCTTTGTTAATGGATACATAAATTCTTTTTGTCTGATTTTTTGATAGAACACAGTGAAAATGACTTAGGGAAAATAACACCCCAGATATAGCTAAAATGTGAATGAAGCTGGAGGCAGCAGAGGACCACACACCATGAAATGTAAACAGAAGAGAAAAAAGCTAGATGCCAGACAGGAAGAGAAGAACCAGGAGAGCAGTCTTTACAAATAGAGGTAAATGTAACTAACACTGAAATAAGAAATCTGATAGGTCTTAAAGAACAAAAAAATAGGGTAATCAACTATTCCTTAACACGCACAAGAGTTCTGCAGAATAAGTAAATTTAATTTCTCAGGGTTCATTCTTGAACTATTCTCAACCTTATGGAATCTTGCTTTCAATAATTAGTGATTTATGTTAGGGCAAGCCATTTCCCTCCAAAAGAAAGAAATTTTTTTCTCAAATAATTGGATTAGATCTACTGCCACTAATTAAAACAGAGAATATATCATCTCTCAGCCATATCTTACATTCTTAGACAAACAACAACTATATTTGATTGGCATGGTAAAATGAGCTTAATGGAGTTAGAAGATAAGAGAAGCTTTTAGAGGAGAAAGCATACTATCCTGTACATGTAAAACTATTTTGCCTTATAGTTATAAACTTCAAATCACCCAAAGCTCGGTGACACAGACATATTTTGATTTTGGCATTAATTCACAAAGAACTCTTTCTTATTGTATTATGGGATGAGGCAAATATAATATTAAGAAGAAGAATTTACTTCTGAAGTAAAGAACAAATACATTTATGGTTATAACACACATACATCTAGCCAATTTCTTTACAACACCCGGATGAAGAAAGCTAGGTCATCTTCAATTTACTGAAATTACTACTAGATACTCTTATTAATACCACTTGGCATTAGATTCAACAACAGTTAAGGACAAAAAATTAGAATTAAAAATTTAAAACTGTGTCCTACAATTTAAACATGTGACTAAATTCATAAAGTCAGAGAATAATAAAAGCAGTATCATTCTAAATATGTAAAAATCACAATAGAAAACAAACTGACAACAAGATAAGTACTTTTAAAATTTATAACTTGTGATTCAATACAAGAATGTATTAAAAGTGAAAGGAAGATAATACACTTATTCATTCATTCATTCCAATAACGAATGCTTACTATATTACAAAGCATTATGCTAGATGTTGTAATAGATAAAAAGTTATATAAAAAATAATTCCTATCCTTAAAAGTCTTCAAATTACAAGGGAAGTGAAGACATATGCATAATACAAAATAGCAACAAAATATATACATAACACAAGGCAGTAGATGACAGTGTATAAATTCAACAAGGATTCAAGAAGGAAAGAGTTTCCAGGATGTGATCAGCGAACGCTTCGTGTAGGAAATGCTCTGAGTCAGATAATAAGCGGAAGGGTAGGGTGGAGGATATGATGAGATTCCATGCTCATGAAATATCATATAAAAAAATAAAGAAGTGAGAAACGGAAGGGAAGTGTTCTCAAAATTTCTCACAAGCACCTAGCCCTGGGGCTGGGGAGTACATTCCAAAGCTCAAAGTTTCTTCGAAATCTATTGTGTATCTTAAAAATCATAGAAAATTCATGTTCTATTCCATTAAATATCAGTGCTTGCTTTAACATAAAAATAACATTTTTCCTCTCAAAATTTTCCAGTAAAACTATACTCCAAGACGACAATCATTATTATCCTGCACACGCTCTCAAAAGAATGCCAGTAAGAAGCAAGAGCACAGAGTGAAGGGAGCCACAGGTGGAAGAAGACACCACTCAGAGAGCAGAGCAGAAGGTCTCCAATCAGCCAGGCTAGAATCGTCAAAACGTTATGCAGAGGACAGTGGGGAATCACGAAAAATATATTTTGAGTTAGGGAATGACATTCAACTTTTCCAGCCAGATTAGTCTGGCAAGGACACAGAGAATGGAGTTATTCATTCAACTAATATTTTGGGGCATCTATTGTGTGTCAGGTACCAATCTAGCTGCTGGAGAACTGAACAAAAGAGGCGAAAATCCCTGCCCTTATGGAGCTTACATTCCAGTACAGGGAGATAATAAGTAAGTCGAAAGATGCAATGAGACCAGACAGGAAGAGATCACAAACAGGAGTGGTGACTGTACAGGAAAGGAGGGGATGATTGTAAACAAGAGAAGTCTGATCATGCCCAGGTGACTGAGATGACAGGAGTACTAATAATATAAATCAAGGAGGAGGGTTCTATCAAAAGAGAAGGGGCAAAAACGGGTTGTTTTAGATTTGCAGGCTCAGAGGTGCCTACTGACCCAACAGATGGAAATGCGAGACTCCAGGAGGTCAGGTCTAGAGACGCAGACTTCGTGACCACCTGCAGCCAGACACAAGTGGAAGCCACACGAGGGAAAAGGGAGAGACGCAGAGAGCAAAGGCAGAAGACAGAGACTTGACAAATGTCCATGAGGGTGGGAAAAACATCAGGTCAGAGAAGAAGGAATCTAAGAAAAAATAAGAAAAACCTAAGCAATGAGGAGTAATGGGAAGAAGACTTTGCAAAAGAGACGTCAGTATGCTTGTGTGCATTTTTTTCCTCCTTACCTGTTCATTCTTTTTCTGAACCCATTCCTTGTGCTTTTCTTCAGCAATTATCTTTCTTTTCTCACGTTCTTCCATTTCTTTTCTTTTTTCTACCTGTTGATTTAATTCCTATGGATTTTATTCAAACAAGAGGCAACATTTAATAGGAGTATTCAAATCATGTATTTAAAAAAAGACTGAGATTAACCAAATTAAACAAGAATATAGTCTCCTCTATAGAAAATATACCATTAGTGACAATAACTTACTGAAATAACTAGTCTATGATGAAAAGAAAGCATTGGTAAAAAGTATAAGTCATTTTTTAGAAATGCAAATAATTGCTTGGCAGCAAAACACTAGTTTCTTAGACTAAACTTCAGCTAAATTACCCTCATTGAAATCAACTTTCCCACACATAAATTTTGGCACCACTGCACGCTATTGGCAGAAGCTCAAGAGAATTGCAACTTTCTTTACAATTATAAAAAGCTTCTAGATTCTTGATGAAGATAAAGGATAGGAATTAAATAATCCCTAAATTAAAAATTTAATTCAGAGTTATACCAAAGAAGAAACATAAAGAAACCATTCCATTTTCCTTAGGGAAAAAAAAGAATCCAGGTTTTTCTTCACTGATTTTATAGCTGTTGGATTGTAAAACAAAACCACATTCATATCCCAGGTTATTTAACTGCCTTGCTGTCACTCGATTCTACACGTTTGGGCATTTCCTTAGCAGAAAGAATGTAGAAGGTATGGCCAAAGAAAACTACACACTGAATGCCACCACTCTGTCACTCATCAGCTAAATTACTGCATTAGTTGAGAATGCTGCTCAAACTAGACTCCTAGGACTCCACTACCATAACTGCTGGTTATTTCTCTTCTCTTTCCTGAGACACTAATAATCAGATACTTTTATATATCTTGCATTGGACCCCACTCCTCTTCCCCATCCCTCTCTTTCCCAAAGACCTCTGTACCTGCAGTGGAAAGGACAATTTTTAAATTCACAGACAATTCCAGTGTGTTAAATCAAAGGAAGACAAAACTTGACACCAAGAACGTATCTTTTACACTTTAGAACTACTGGTTACAGGGTACCTGTCTTCCTTGACCTCTCATCCTAAAATTCTGCTGCATAGAAAATACCTGCCTTCACTCATTCAGAAAGTCTTCCAACTTGTAAACACTATACTCCTCCTACCCACCCCCCAAAGGAAAATATCCATCTTGTTTTCAAAGGATTCTTCATTACCTCTGCAGCTGCTATTCCTTGATTATTCACTTAATACTTTTTTTATGGAACACCTACTATAAAGATAGCAAGAACTGAGACACAGGGATGAAATTCCAGAAGTCTCTGATCTAATCTGATTCTAAATACACAAAACAACTAAGTGCTACATTGTGAGGTACTGTGTGTAACAGGAGCTCAGAAAAGGGAAAGGAAGAGAAGGGAAGATGAGAGGAGAAACAGTGTAGTCAGAAATGTAGTCAGACCAGGGTAGTCAGAAATGAGCCCCACAACAGGAACAGTGAGGAGATGACTTGATGGGAAGGGAAAGATTGGGGGGGTGGGAGGGTGACTAGAAAATTAGAGTGTGGTACTAACTAGAGGGAAAAAGGTCTTTTGAGACAGGCAGAGTAAATTGAACACTACGAAGCAGGAATACACGGCAAGAGGGATGATTCAGAACTCTTAATGATGGAGGTTGAAGACTGCATTTGAAGAGATCAGAACTACTCTGAGGGAGACGGACTAGGAGGCTGCCATAGTGTGAGAGCTGTAGGGGGAGAAGGCCTGGACTTGTGTCAGGAAACAAGAAGTGGGGGAGACAGAGAGAGAGAGAGAGAGAGAGTGAGTGTGTGTGTGTGTGTGTGTGTGAGAGAGAGAGAGAGTGAGTGTTTGTGTGTGTGTGTGTGTGTGTGTGAGAGAGAGAGTGTTTGTGTGTGTGTGTGTGTGTGTGTGTGTGTGTGAGAGAGAGAGAGACAGGCTAGATACATATCTGACAACCATATATCCAAAGTTTTCAAAACAGTCCGAAATTTACAACTAAAAATATGATTGATTATACTTATGTACCCTTTTAAAATTCTTCTATAATTAAACTTAAAAAATCAGACTTTGCGTTTGGTTCACAAATTTCACGGTTCACAGATTTTAGCTGATGTTGATAGAAGAGTTCAAGATGAAAGCAGGGTCAAAGGACCTAGAAAATGCTACCACTGACCCAAACTGCTCTAATCTCAGGATGTCTGTTCGAGTAATTTGCTACCCAGAATATATATCGCATTCTGAGACACAGCCCTCCCTTCCGAGGCTGCCCCTCAGAACTTCCCACCCTGAATGCCTCCATCTGTTCACCACCAAGAAGGCAGCCTCTTCCAGACACAGCTGGAGTCTTCTCTCACCAGCCCCTATGTCGTCTTCTGGTACACCACTGAACTTCAACAGGATTACAGCTATTTTCTCACGGAGTAAACACCTGATTGTGGAAAACTCAAATCCAAAGAGGATCCTAAACATGCATTTTTATTTCAATAGCCGTTGCCGACTTTCAAAGAACTTTTTACCACTGAAGGTAACAATCAGAAAAACTGACAGTTTTGAGTTTCACCAACTCTATATCCTGCCTTATTTCTTCATTAAGGGCTGATGAATGAAATGGCCAAAGGCAACATAAAAAAAAAGAAAAAGCACCTGGATTATTCACAAACTAGATAATTTTTATAATTTAGAACAGATTGCACTAAAATGTTAAATCAAATGTTAAAAATTAGAATTAGCCAAAGCCAATAGAGAATTTAGAGCAGTCTGCTAAAGAATTTTTTTAAATAATAAAAATTTAAATAAAATTTATATGAACTACAAAACCAATATGCTAGTTTTTCATAATACTAATGTTCAACATTTACCATATTTATCATCTCAACAGTTACAAATGTAAAAAATTTTGTAAACAGGTAATTTTGATGGATTAAAATAATTTTTTAACCCAATCCTACAGAGATGTCCGAAACAAATCTAAATGTCTGTTGCTGAAATCAAATTTATGAGAGGGGATGATCTTATTAATGACCCAATTATCCTTTAAGTTTTCAAGGAAGAAAATAAGAAAGCCAGGGTAAGTTCAAAATTAAATACTAAGTCTGACCCATTTACTTCTAAAATACATCTTGGTCTTGTGGAGAAAACACTTACTAAATTCGAAGTCAAAAGAACTAGGGTCCAGTCCCAGCTTTGCCACTGAATGAAACCTCGCAAAGTTACTTTTTGGCTCTCAGGCCTTAACACAGATCTGAGATGAACTGTTCCTTATGATTACAAATCTACGCTTTTAATGATATCATTTGTAAACAAATTAGAGATACAGTAAATAAGGAGAAAAATAAGGAAAGCATGACTTAGAAAATAAAAGAAAGGGAAAGGCATGAAAAGAATGTGAATACCACCATAGCTCAAAACAAGCTTATAATAAAGTGGGCAGTTGGCCTACATGTTATGATGTCCCCCGCAGGACTGACGCGTAAGATTCACGTAAATACTTTCACTGCTTCAGGGTTAAGTAATGACACAGCCATAGGAAATGTCAAACCACTAAATACATGAAAAGGTTTTAATCTTTCAACCGATTATACTCTGCTACCTGTTCAATCATTGTGGTAGTGACTTTATACTCGTTATTTTAACCTGGTCTCAAAACCAATCTTCAATAGTTATCTCCTTTCCTAATTACAACTGATTTTTGAGGATTCCCATATACTAGGCCATATCGTGATGTGCACTCAGTCCTCATAACAACACTAGGAGGTGAATATTCTCCCCCTTACTGATAAAGAAATCGAGGCAGAAAGAGGGTAAGAATTTGCCCAACGTCCAAGTTTTGAATCCAGGAAGTATGGCTCAAGAATTTATGCCTTTACCCACTCTACTACTGTCTCTCTAACGTCTGGCTTATAGATGAAGAGACTGCAGCTCAGAGAAGTTACGTCACTTTCCGAAGGTCACAGAGTTAGAATGGCAGGGCTAAATTTCAACCTTGTTCTGCATGACTCCAAAGCCCAGCTCCCGTGTGAATTTTCTGTAATTTAATTAACTTCTTTTATTGCATGCTGATGCTAAAAGTGAGAGTGACCCTCCTTTTCTTAATGTAACAAGTGACTTCTAGTGAGGCTGGAGATAAAGCTAACTACCATACTGATCTCCACTTCACCACTGACTTGCTAACTCAGTGTTTCCCAAACTGTAGTCTAAAACCAACTGAATGGGTTATGAACAGCCATAAAAAAAAAACAGAATACCGGGTTTTCCACAAAATTAAGATATTATTTCAGATATGTATGCATGTGTGTGTGTATATATATATATATATATATATATATATATATACACACACACACGTGTGTGTTTGTGTGTGACCTGAAGCAAACTAGATTTCTCACAGTGAACAAACATTTTGAAAGATACTGAACTAAATAATGGAATTAGGAATGTTAAAACTTGAGGGTGAGGTCAGAGAAGTAAGAGTCTGGGGTCTCAATAATCACACTAATTCTGAAAATAAATGAAAAAGCTTTAAGAAGGCTATGAACAGCAATGATATCAACAACACCATGGTAAAAACAACACCAGGCATCTCTACACTTTGTTCATGATCCTCACAAAAATTCTGTGACACAAGTATGATTTTATTCTTACTGTACATGAGGAAATTCAAGCATAAAAGTTTAAATAACCCGCCTGACATCAAACCATAAGGTCTTTCTCAAGCCCTGTGCTCTTCTAAGAGGAAACAAGTACTACTGTGTACTTTTCCAGGAATAAATTTGTATTTTAGAATACAAAGCATCATGCAATACGGACACAGCAGAATGTACTGGTTTCTACAACAATTTGAATCTTGCCAAGCCTCCTGAATATGTGACTGCCTACCTTGTTAGAAACCCATCATGGAAACAGCAACTAGTTTCAAAACTGATATGGAAAATTTATTCCAAGGAAGATCACAGAGGGCAAAGCTTTAGTTCCAAAGATTTTTACAGCAACACGGTTACTAACATATTAGTGAACTGGTTAACTATGTCCTAACATATGTTTAATACATTTTAAATATATTTTAATAATCTTAGGTATTTAAAAATGATATTGTAAAAATATTTAATGCTATCGAAATATGTTAATAATGTAACAGGCAGAAAAAAGCAGGTTACAAAAGAGTTTGATCCTGTTTCATTAAAAACAAGACATATCCCTCCCCACTCACATCTACTTGGTTTCTGTGTTTGGACAGGGAGAATTCAGAGAGTGGGTCTGGACACTGGGGAATGTCAAATTATCCAAATCTATTTCATTGCTAGGTTCCAGAGAGCCACCAGTAAGAGTTCAAAGAATGAGGGATTCATGTGAACATGTATCTCAAACTACTTTTTAAGTTTGGAGAGTGAGAGCTCAGAGAGAATCACAAACACAGAAGTGTCCACAGTGGGGCAGGAAGGCACAGACACTGATGAACCCTGAAAGCCCCACAGATCCGCATCTGCCGGCACAAATTCTCTCCAGGGTATATGCTCTGCGTGATATGGGGGTCATTTCTGTCTCTATTTCAATTTTTGTTTCTCTCCTTTCTTAACAAGTTGAATTTACTTTAATTAAATGTACATATGGTGAAGTTCTGTTCTATGTGTCTGTATTATACATATATACATATTTTTAAAAAAATTTACATAGAAAAAAATTTGGAAGGCTATACATCGTAATATTAATGATGGTTATCTTCAGGTGGTGAGATTAGAGGAGACTTTAATTTTCTTAATTATGCTTAGCTGTATTTTCCAAATGTTCTTATAATAATACGCATCATTTCTACAGTAAGAATTATTAAAACTGATATAGCAAACCGATACAAACGCACAGACTTTGTTTTGGGGGATAATGACATTAAGATGTTAGTTTTGACAGCAGCTCTACTTGGTGAGCTCATGGATTAAAGAAAAAGGATATTGGCTAGCTTCACCTCTAGAGCTTTCTGCTGCAGACGGTCACGTTCTTCTTTTTCTTTGCCAACAAACCACACTTCCCATGGTGTCAGGCTGCTTTCCGGTAAGCGCACCTGCTTCTGTTCTTGGTTATCTTCTGATTCAACCGTGCTATTACAAAAGAGAAGACACGACAGCACTCAAACTCAAAATTCTTGGGCTTACAAGTCAAATCACTGAGCTGTGCAGTGAAAGCAGAATTTAATAATGGATTTACAATACAGTGATTTTTATAAATAAATATATATGAATTAATTATAGGTAAATATATACTTGAAAAATCATGAACAGGAAGTCCAATATTTGAGTTAGTTTATCCATTAAACTGCCTTTGAATTCCTTCATCTTTTAAAATCACGTTATTTAAAAACCCAATGGGATAACACACCCAGTCCATTTGCCTCAATGACAACAATTTTTTATTCTTAAAAATCTTACATCTGGCCAACTAATTACAACACATGATCCTAATCAGATGCTGGAGCAGACTTTTCCATTTTCCTCCCTTAAATCGTTCAGGGAAAAAAAGAATATGCATATATACAGAGAGAATGATAAAGCAAATGTGTTAGTTACAGATTCTGGGCGAAGGGTGAACAGAAGTTCTTTATACTCAACTTTTCTGTAAGCTTGAAGTTGTTTTGAAATAAAAAGTTACAAAAAAATATATGGCCTTGTAATGTTTTGGTTGACTCCTTCTTGCCAATTCTCAGGCAGGGTGTCCGTGACCCTCCACAGTTTGGGTACCTCCTACGAGGGCTTCCTTCTCCACTACGCACCCCTGTCAGTCTGTCTCTTCTTGGTACATGGAAAAGTGACTACTCTCTCAAGCTCAAGAGAGGGGAGGGGAAATACTGTAAGTACATACACACAGAAAGAACACAGGGCCTTGGCCATATATACAAGCCTCATAAAACTTAGGGAAAGCTGAACCATCAGCACCCACGGAGAGAAAGGTTGTTCAGGAGCCAAGGCAGCTCTAGAGACTAGGTTATTATAGACTCAGCTCCTCCTTGGTCTTTAACATTCCTGCTTCAGGCAGCCAATTGCCTCGCCTACTGCTATGCACAACTTCTTCTACCTCATAGCTTTAGCTTACTCATTTTTTTCTGCTGCTATTTCTTCATTCATCCGTGCCCTCATGGAATTTGTATTTTAGTGGGAGACGCTGTTGATGTGTTTACTTCGTATATATCTCTCCTCCTCCGCCTTGCAGGACAACCTCATCTGCCCCCATAGTTTCAACTATCCCTAGGTGCTGATGAGGCCCAGATCAGTCATTCCAGGCCAGATCTTTCTCCTGAGCTCCAGACTTTTATTTCCAAACATCTGGTAGACAGCTCCACTTAAATATCAAATTTGGTCAGTCCCAAACAAGTCTGATCATCTTCTACCATCCACCCACTACCCTCCCCACCAAGAAAAATTTTCCTCTTCCTCTGACAATCCTCTCTCAGTGAAGAGTACCAACACCACCCAGTTAGCCAAGGCAGTAACTCTGACCCCACCTGCATCCTGTCCACACCAGGTCCCCTCACTTCCCACACCTATATAATCACCTAGTCAGGCCTATTCTACTTCTTTCAATTTTCTCAAGCCATTCTCTTTCCCAGCCTTACAACCAGTCTGGACATAAGCGGCCTTTCTCCCTCCATTTCAAACCATTCTCCACACTGTTGCCAGATTCATCCCTCAAATGCATCCTTCTATCATGTCACTCCCCATCTCAAAGTTCTGCAGTGGCTCCTTTGCCCACAGCTAAAATCCAAACTCTGCAGCCTGACATCCATGAACTGGCCCCTGCCTCTCTTCCAGCCTCTTCTTTGACCAGTGGCTGATCCAGACGCTACATCTGTCTTGTTGAATTGGGCAGACTGACGAACTTGCCACATCCTTGTGCTCTGCAGCTTTGCCTAAAACTCTGAAGTTCCTTTCCTCCACCTCCATCTCTCACACAGCCAAAGTGAGAGCTTAGACTTGGGAGCAGAACCTTTGGGGTGAAGCTCTATCTGCGTCTTCCAGCTATGGACACTTTTTAACCTCCTCAAGCCTCCCTTTTTCACCCGTAAAACGGAGATGAGAGCAGTGGCTAGCTCACAGGCACCCCACAGGCATGCGAGAATCCATGCTAAAGCCCTCAGGCCAGGTCCGGGCACTCAGGGAGCATTTGGTACCCATCATTTAGGAGGAGGAGGGGGATGGCTGCTTTCTACTCTCCCTTCAAACGTCAACTCAGGCATTATCTTCAGGGCCTCACAGGGAAACTCTGCGAAAAATCCGACTAGTGCCTTGGGCTTCTGGCTGCTCGTCCCTCTCTGCCATAGGCCATGAGTTCCTTACAGAGAGAAAACACGTCTGAACTCTTTATTTCAAGAGTCTAGCTTAGGGCCTAGAATACAGTAAGCTCCTAAGAAATGCTTGTTGAAAGAAGAGATCAGTGTTTTCTAAAAAATGTTTTTATCACGTATCAGTGTTTTTTAAAAAATGACACTTAAAGTATTAAATTTCTTGCCTTAACATTTTTAACATATGTGTTCAAAATGTGTGGCATATACACTACACCTCTACCCATAATGAAGACAGACTTGATAAGCAGCTGTTTATGACCAGGACGTTTATTAAGGCATGAGTTCCCAGTGGACAGAGTGACATAAAGCTGACTAAACAGCAGGCCCAAAGCATATTATGAGACTCCAGGAAAATACTTCTCATTATCTTGTCTGAAGCCAACTGTGAGCTTCCTCTCAGTCGTGCCCAACACACCTGAATGCATTCGCTAAGCATGGCTCTATTTACACCTAAAATACCTGGGGCTCAAGTCCATCGTGGGCAGTTGATGCCTGGGTCTATCTCAAAACAGCCACACCCTCTTAGTTCGCCACGGTCAGATCAGTGTGGCAGGTGAAGGATGGAAAAAAGGCCTGAAATCCCACGCAGCTCTACGTTTACACCCTGGTCCACGGAGAGGATGCTCAGTGCCCAGAGCTGTGGCTGGATTCTGACTCAGGCCGCCTGCTCTCCTCATCCCATCAGCCCCAGACTGTCCAGGACACCAACTAGAGGTGAGAAGCAGGGAGGAGGAACGAGGGAACTTGCTCAACACTTCTCCTCCTGAAAGGAAGTGCTAGGTGTTCTGAAGCATTTGAAAACAATCACTGCATCGACCAGTCCTCCAGGAAGTGGGAAATGGGCAATCATTCAGCACACATTTACTGAACACCTAATAAGCTTCTGACACTTGCCACACACAAGGCCTGACAACTGCATTTTTCCCATACCACGTCCTACCTTTTCCTTTGATTCATAGGAAATGAACTGTGATAAGAAAGGAGCCTTAGCCCTGAGATGCTACCAGCTCATTCGGGCTTTGGCTAAGGTGAGACATCAATACATCTGGCTCCTCTCCTGGGGAGCTCCACTTGTTCAGGGCTTTGGCTCTTGGAAGCCAACGCAAGGTCTCAGGAGCTGAGCTGTAGTTTCGATGGCCATGATTCCTTAGGTTGCTAAACCGTGTCTACATTGCTTAGTCCTGTTGATTGGCTCAGAGGGTATTTTCCAAAGCCTTAACGTTTATTTTAAAAATCTTCGGGACCAACTCAGTCCTGAAGAATCCCTACAAAGTCCCACATGAAAATGAACTCCTGAAACCCTAATTCTACCAACAAGCTCTACTATCTGTTTGATCCGAGAAGGCTTGTTTCTTGTTGCCACAACTGTCTGGACAACTGGCTTGCTTGGTTACTTATAGATCTCCATTCCCACCAATGTACTTACTTTTACTTCTCATTCTTAAGAGACTCACCATTGTAACCATGTAGGAGTCACCTCCTACTGCTCCATATTCCATTCACTCACTCTAGGTATGACTGCCTCACACTGCAGGGGCCATCTTGCTGCTGGCACATAAAGCATGGGTCCTCCGGTCTGTATTTCTTAGATCTCCTGTACTGTGCCTTAAACAGCTCGACCCTTAAAAACTTGTGAATGCTTTCTGAAGATGATGAAATGAGTCTACCCCACAATGGACCTGCTTTACTAAGGCTGTCTCAGAAAAAGATATTTCTGCAGGAACAGGCCCTTTGCTCCTTTTCTATATACCCAATAACAGGCATAAAGCATAGGGAAGAGAGAACGTGACCAGTATACCTAGCTACCAGGTCCGGCTCTGCTAATAACTAAGTGTATGCCTTTGAATCACTTTTTATTTGTATTCTGAGCCTCAGTTTTGTTACCTGTAAAATGAGTGGCTTGATCTAGGCTTTAATTCCACGACAGCAGACCATGTCTATCTCCCTTACAGTCCCCAGCAGCTAGGCTAGTATGTGGCACAAACTAAATGTTTGCTGAATGAATGAATAATTGTAGAAATAAACAAATAACGGTGGTTTTAACAATCTCTTCGGTTCTAACACTCTTCGATTGGATGACACCTACTGCACTGTAAGTAGGTGCTCGGATCAGCCCCAACGTCGTCTCTGGGTGCTGTCGCCGACAGCGCCCACCTCCATGCTCCTCACCGACGACATAAAAGCACAGTGCTTCCTACACCCTGCTTCACGGGGCGACAGCCGCAGGGGCTACGACGGTGCAGGAACCCACGTGGACCAGAGTTCCCGTGGCCACGATCTGACTCTTGACTATTCATAAAACTCCTGAATGGCAGCAAAATTTTGCGTGTTGGAGCCCGCGTTCTTCCGGGGAGTGAGGCTGCAGCCACCCCCACCCCCACCCCTGGGAAAAAGGCTTAGGCATCACAGGCAGCCGGTCGTCCTGTGCGGAACCGGCCCCGGAGGGCGCGCCCCCAGGCCCCGGGCGACGCCAGGCGGTCCGGC